AGCCACTAGTATATTCAAGTTTCAGCTTATGCCTGGGAAATATATAAAGATTGCCTTCGATCGCTTGGCATTACTTGCTCTTTTTGATAGGTACAGTACGTTGGTCAAAAGTGTTCTGTCTTTAAATGATATTGTCACAATGACATGATCGTCTTGTAATTCAGAAACAAATACGTTTATGAAACAATACTGGCGGTTGTTCTCGCTGTGTTATCGTCAGTCCTGGGATACCGGCTACTCTTGGAAGATTTCTACACCGATTTCTGGATTTTTGTTTTCTGTTTTGTGTTGGCTGGATGTCAGTTTTCATTATTAAAGGTCCGAGAGTTTATTGTAGTCTAGCTATTTTATATCCGTCCTTCTCAATGTCAACCTAAACCTCGGTCAAATAAAATATGCTTTCCTGAAATGACGTTTTAAATTAATTTTGTTTTAGAGTGTTCAACCGGATGCCTCTTCGCCAACGCACGTAAGATCTTCATTACACTCACTCACTTTTACACTCATGTTTTTTCATTCAACAGCTCCTGATGGATTTTTTGGTTTTTAGGGCTTCAATCATGTGGTACTTTTCAGCAGGCCTGTGTACTTCTGTGTATTAGCAACTGGCGTGTTAATCCTTGATAAAATATCAGACTATGATTTCCAGTGTGTATCTGTCTATACAATACCACTGTGTAGTCCACGATCCGTGGCTTATGTCAAAGATATCATGCTAGGTAATGTTTTTCTTAAAATTATTTACAGAATTACTGCAGCGTATGATAGATTTCTTGCTGTGTTTTTTGAAAATTCTTTATCCAGGAACTTATCGCAATGTATTGCAATGCTAAAATACACTAATTTTTCTCTCTTAGGTTTCATACTTTCTTTTCCAATCATCTTCTTGTTTGGTTTGCTTCCTCAAATCAATACATTCTCTATGTTCATCTTAGAGCAACTAGAGGTTCATGTTTTCGGTGGAAATGGTATGTCATAACAAAAATGTGTAGATTTCAATAATCTACTGTTAGATAATATTTCATATTTTTAATTCTTTCTGCTTTTTATCTTACAGCTAGCACAAATCTCAAAGGAGCGATTTACGCGTTTTTTAGAAGTGTCTTTGCAGTAGGATTTCTTTTTGGTTTCTGCTATGGTGCGCTAGACGAAACTGCGGTATGATATTCTGACTATTACTAAGTTTTATTACACTAAAAAATGACAGCCATTAAAGTCAACTTTTTTTCAGGATGATGTTGCTGGGCAACATATCTTATTCAGTGTTTTCAGTGGATTGTTAGTGGCGTTATCCTACCATCTTAGTCGCTCTGTCAGCGATCCTATGCCTTTTTGGTGAGTCTAAAAAATAAATAATTATACGTTTTCTTCTTTGAATAGTAACCATTTAGGCCAAAGAATGGGGGTTAGTCTTCTCTTATTTTCCAGTTATGTACGACAGTCCTGACTAATTCCGAAGACCCTCTTGAAATGGACCGCGTGCCTTAATTTTCTAATGATAAGACGTTTCTTTTAATAAAGCATACAAAATTTTGTTGTAGGAAATTGGTCAAATCTTTGATGGGACCAGAGAGAGAAAGTGATGGCAATCCCGAGGAAATCTACGATCCTTTGCCATTGAAACTTCAACAGACTTTTGTAAGTTGCAAGGATGAGGCTATGTGTATTTTATTCAACTCATGGCGCTCTGCAGATAGCCTCTGGACTGTTCTCAACCCTGTGTTAATGTTACCTGCCTTTTTTCAGATCACCCGAGCTCACAATGATGTTATTATATGTTCCATATCTGCCGTGTTTGTCTTTGGGGTTCACGTGAGCAAAATTTTCACAGAGCTAAACGTGTGTAGATATTTTGCCATTTCTGATCATTGCTATATTTGCAGTCGCTCACTGTTTCACTCATTTCATTTTGACAATTATTTTGTTTTTAGCCATACGTCAGTTACATGTTCTACTGCATTGCTGGCGTTCTTGGGTTCATTGTTCACTATCTTATACCACAACTAAGAAAATCTTTGCCATGGCTCTACTGTGCTCGACCAATACTTAGAAGCCGCGAATATCATTTGTATGAAGTGAAAGGTAAATCTAGGGTTGAGGGTTTTTCAAAATTGGTTTCCTTTATTCATCATAAATACTAAATTGCGTGCTTTTTCCGAACAACACTTCCTTTTATTTTATGTAGGAGCACCTAAACTTGTTTGGTTTGAGAAATTGTACGTCTGGCTTTGTTTTATCGAAAGAAACATTGTTTATCCGTGTTTATTTCTCAGCACATTGAGTAATTACGCTGGAGATATGAGGTTAAAGTTTGGCACAGTGTAAGTCGCTTTTTCAAACGTTCACAATCCTGTCCATTTTAGTAACAAAATTTATGAGTTACGATTCTCGTATTTCTTTAGAGGTGGTTCATTATTGATCAGTATAATTGGTCTGAAGATGATTCGCAGTTCGTTTTCAGATTGCTCAAAGCAATCAATTTTCGTGATCTGGACAGTTTTATTTTTTGAATATGACTACAAGAAACATTCCGAGGGATTCCCTGTCGATTATTTCATCATGTCCGTACTTCTGTCAAAGGTTTGTTATTTTTTATACATCTATAGTGTTTGTTAATATCACGCGATTCTTCCACAGTCACACATTATACTCAGTAAGTCAAACTCAAAATGTCTAAGTAAAAAATAAAAAGAGAAATTAGTGAATAGAAAGGAGAAATTACCGCTGTGCATTTGAATAAATATTCAGTGAGACAGTTTAGTTCCTATTTTAAAGCTTTCTCACATTGAATTTATTTGTCTAGGTTTACGAACTTATGTTGAAATTAAGATTTGTGTTCAGTTATATTGCTCCCTGGCAGATTCCGTGGGGTTCTGCTTTCCATGCTTTTGCTCAGCCTTTTAGCATTCCACGTATCCTTTTAATCACGTGCCTTAATAATAATACCCTATTATCGATCTTACAATCTATAAATTGTCAACATAAATCTTGGACTGAAGTAGTTGATGAAATAATATCACAATATACAAACAACAATAGGTTAGGAATATGTTCATCATTGTGAATATTTTTCCTTCACAATCCTTTATTAGATTCAACAATGATGTTTTTTCAGTCTGTTATATCTTCTTTGATATCGGCGCCGCTGAATCCCTTTTTAGGAAGTGCTATATTTCTATGCTCTTACGTCAGGCCTGTTAAGTTCTGGGAGAAAAATTACAAGTAAGATCTTCCAAGGAGTTTGCGTCATATAAAATGCTCTGTGTTGCTGACCACTTCACATCGTTCTGTTTTATATGCTGAAAAAGAATAAATGCGTAACTTCATAGTCCTACTTTTTTTGTAGTACCAATCGAGTAGACCACACGAATACTCGTTTATCTTCGCAACTCGATCGTAATCCGGGCGCCGATGACAACAATCTAAACTCGATCTTCTACGAGCATTTGACCCGCTCTCTACAACACAGTCTGTGTGGAGATTTACTGCTGGGTCGCTGGGGGCCTGTGTCCAGTGGCGATTGTTTTGTCCTCGCCTCAGACTATCTTAATGCCCTGGTTCATATAATTGAAGTTGGAAATGGCCTGGTTACATTTCAACTTCGAGGTCTAGAGTTTAGAGGTGAGATATTTAAAATAACTTGTTTTCATGGCATTGTAGTGAACAACACATGTTTGGAAGAAATTTATGCCCTTGTTAACTTTTTTTCACAGGAACCTATTGCCAACAAAGAGAGGTTGAGGCTATAACAGAAGATGTTGAAAGTGACAAAGGTACACAGGCACAGGATATGATCCGATAAAGGATGATATTAGCATCCAATTTCAATTATGTCAGCTATACCTGTATTGTTGTCAATCATGATAGAAACGTGCTCACAAACAGTTATAACTGTTTTTGATAACGTTAGTGCAGCTATATCTTTAAATTTTTTGAAAGGAAGGAAATCTTCAAATTTATTCGGGTAATGTATATAAGGTTATGTCAACGTAATTAGTCATAATAATCTTATCATAAAACAGGTTGTTGCTGTTGTGAGCCTGGACACCTGCCTGGAGTATTGTCAGTCAATGCAGCATTTGGCCAACGTTGGTTAGCTTGGCAAGTAACGTCTGTTAAATACGTGATCGAAGGTTATAGCATCAGTGACAACAGCGCTACCTCAATGCTACAAGTTTTTGATCTACGAAAGATCTTGATTACATATTATGTTAAGGTGAGATTCGCCTACCTGATGGCAATAAAGAATTAGAGAGAAACTGCCCAAAAAAATCTCCCCTTGTCTAGTAACTGTATCTTGCATATTTTTAGGCAATCATATTTTACGCAGTCCGTTCAAAAAAACTGGTTCAATGGCTTACAAGTGAAGACATCTTCGCTGGGCTGACTGAATACCAGAAGAAAAATTTCGTTGAAAAAGAATCGACATTCAATCAAAATATTGATGAGGATTATGACGTACTTGCGAAAGGAATATCCAGGAATAGTTTTTACAACACGTATTCTGATTGGATAATATTCTGCGTTGGACGAAGGGATGATGTACGTCTGCATGTAGAAGATAGTTTACGCACCACAATCTATCATTGTTCCTATCCTTTGATTTAAATCAACATCTAGATCTCTTATGGTATGCGTCATCTTTTTTTACATAGGAAATTCCTTGCGATAAAAGTTCCAATTTGATGACGTTATGTTTCGCTTTGAGTTTGCTAGGACGGCGAGCTCTTGGGACTGCGGCTCATCAACAATTATCCAGGTAAATAAAACTGAAGTTTTCAGCTAACTAAAATAATTTTCAGTCCAAAATCGCGCAGTAAATTTCATATGTTTTACAATCGTTTTCATTTAGCTTAGAATTTCTGTACGGTCTCCACGCTCTGTTCAAGGGTGACTTTCGTATCGCTGCTCAGAAAGATGAGTGGGTACTTTGTGATATGGATCTGTTGAAGAAGGTCGTAGCACCTGGAGTGCGAATGTCCCTCAAGCTTCATCAAGATCACTTTACATCTCCAGATGAATACGATGAACCTTCCATACTTTACGCTGCAATTGCGTCACACGAGGAAAACCTCGTTATCGCCCACGAAGGGGATCCAGCATGGAGGCAGGCTGTTTTGGCAAACAAAAGTTCTCTTCTTGCCCTAAGGTAAATATGGTATAAAACGTCTTTGCTGCTGTCTACTGTAATCTGTGCTACTGTAAGGTGCTTGATTGCTGGTACCCTCGTACAGATGGACTGGTCGCTATATGAAAGGCGCCTAAAGTTGAATATTTCCTTTATAGACACGTGTCGGATGATGGCATTGATGATTATAAAATTATCATGTTAAACAAGAGGTTCTTGAGTTTTCGCGTCATTAAGGTTGGCTGTTGCCTCATAAATTTGTAATGGCTTAAAAATGAGTTACGTGATGTATTTAGATATCCAAGTTCTTCTAAAAAGTACTATTCAATATTTTTATTCAAGGTAAATCGTGAATGTGTGCGTGGCTTTTGGTCAAGTCAATTACAGGAACTGATATTTCTAAGAAATCGTAATCCTGAACGAGGCTCAATACAGAATGCCAAGCAGGTCCTACGTAATATAATCAATTCATCGTGCGACCAGCCAATTGGATACCCTATTTACGTCTCACCACTGACCACATCGTATGCAGACACTAACGCTCAACTCCACTCGTTTAGTTACGGTTCGATTCAGGTGACTCGATTCGCGGCTGGGCTAAGAAAGGCATGGCATCAGCTTCGACTGCGTTGTGGCACGCTTTGCCACGCAAGTTCAGAACCTGTTGAGAAATTGTTCAAGGGAATGTAGTCTGTGTGCCCGGGAACTTAGGATCTACACGCGGGAGAATAGACTCTAGTTTAAGCTCCCCACGCCCAGGAGTACGGCATTTAAGTACATCGACGAACAGGTCTTTGAGCGGAAGTGCGCCACAAACGGGAAGTAAGCTTTCAAGCTCGTTATCAGTAAATGCGCCAACAACTACCCAACCATCTCCGACAGGTGGTTCCCAAGAGGTCAGTCAGCAGCGATCTCGCCATAAACGATAGTTAGTTTCCAAATTCCAAATAATGTAGATAGATAGGATTAAAAACATTGTAAAATACTACGAAATTATTTTGGCTGAATCTAAGATAACTGGGTTTTAACCGAATTGTATAAAATCCCATTATCCACGTGTCAAAAAGTGTTAAATAGAAATTTATAAGTTTCAATGAAAGTTTTGTCGAACAAGAATATTTGCGTGAATACGTTAAATCTCGTACAAGATAAAGTATAAAGAGCACCAAAGGTACACTGAGGTACACTCGAAGTCTCCAACATGGCGGCGGAAGAAGTTAGAAAATTATTTGTTGCCCGATTGCCCTGGACAGCTTGTAGAGGTAACGTTTCATGTCGAAATGAACATTTGTAAATTGTTAAGCATTATACTAAAGTAGTGTTACGTCTGATTTCAGTCGCATTACGCGAATACTTTAGTCGGTTTGGTGCCGTTGAACGTTCGCAAGTGTTGTTTGTAAGTATTTCATTTTATTATTGTCCTCAAATTTTTAGTAGCTTCATCAAATGATATAGCTTGTGTTCCTATATTTAAATTTGGCAGGATCAGAATACTGGAAGATCAAAACGTTTTGGTTTTGTTGTCTTCAAAGATGAAGAAAGTATTGCGAAAACAATGAAAGCTTCTATACATGAAATTCACGATACTGAGGTCAGTGAGATTTTAAATTTTGATTTAGAATTTTTTTTTTGAGTTGCTATACCAAACAACATTTTGAAATCTTGGGTGTACAATTTGAGTGAATAAAAGAGAATGTTCAATTACAACCTTCTTTGATCTTTAAAGTATGAAGAACTTTCAACTTTTAATTAATTAGGTCATAGGCAGCCCAAAATTACGCAGTGTGTAAGCAAAACTATTGGAAAACATCTCCTATAAAATTTTGCATGATAAACACTGATGGCGCACATGCATTCAAAGGGGAATGAAGCAAGTTTTGTAGGCGATTTTATGTTTCCAATAGTTTTGCTTACACACCGACACCGCGTAGTTTTGAGCCGCCTATGATTAGGTATGAAGGCATTTTGTATTCCTTCATTATTACTTTTTGAGAGGACAGGTGACCAGCCGAAATATTTCTCTTGCCTGAAGATCCTTCCTTCATAACTATATGATACTACAATACTATACAACACTATACCCTACTATATCACATTATTATTTTGCATTACCATATCATACACTATTGTATCACATTATACCCTACTATACCACATTATTATGCATTACCATATCATACACTATTATATCACATTATACCCTACTATACCACATTATACCCTACTATACCACATTATACACTCTTGTGAATTACCATAACCTTTGCCTTCATAGCAGCATTTAATTTAGTCTCTATTGTTAGAGTTCACACTTGCTCGTTTAAGATCAATGCTTGCTTATGTCTTGTCAAAAAGTGTTAGGCAGCTCAGATTTTGAGGCTTATATAAGTTTTCCTACCTGGGTGATATGTTGGGCGTAAAATTTAAATTAATTTTTATATCAATCATAAAATTATTTGTATATCATTGATATTATTCCTATTTCTTCATTATGCGTGACAACTGTGCTGTGAAACATATTTCTTTTCTTTAGATATTTGTTCAGCCACACAAACCTCCAAAAAGAAAGGATCATACAATCACAAACAAAGACCCATTGGACATGATGATTGATAGGGAACAAAAATAAAGTCAGTTATAAAATACTCAATTTTCATCTAAACAATTAGAATCAGGACCAAAGGATTAGAATCAAGCCTTGTGGTTGCCCTATCAGTTTAATGGACCTTTTACATAATAGACCAACTTACGATCGAGGTAACAAGAAGGTAATAGATCACCACAGGTAAAAAGAGCATACTGAAATGAGTATAATTGCCAAGTTTGGCCACAAATTGTTAAGTATTACGGAAAATATAGCCAGGCAAAGTAGCCAATTTTGTATACTTTTTTACTATGGCCGGAAGGGTTTAACTAATTTAGTTACACACTTCTGGCCGTAGTAAAAAAGTATACAAAATTGCCAAATACGCATTGCTATATTTTCTGTAGTTTACAATGTTTTGCCGCCAAACTTGGTAATTTTACTAAATTTAGTATGCACTTTTTGGAAAATTCCTTTTTGTTGCCGAAATCAAAAGTTGGTCTATTATGCCTTTTGCATTTTCCATCACATGTGTACATGTCAAAATACTTTATTTTCATTAATAACGAATGCTTTAGCGCATTTCGAAATTTCGAAATTTTTAAGTAAGGGAGTGGAAGTGGAAGGTATTGGAAGGTATTTGCTTACCCGTTTCTGTTCTCGTCTTTTTAAAAAATCCTTGCAAATACTTGCAGTAGAGCGGGGGGGATTGTCCTTGACAATATTCAATAACCTATATCGCGTGTCCTAATCGTCGGACACATTTTGGTGTTGAATGAAAAAGCGATGAAATCGTTGTGCTCACATGATGATGGATTATGTCTAAGAAACTAAAACGTGGCGCATTGTTTAAGGATATCATACAGATCGTGACGGCGTAGGGACTGCTTGACGGGAGACAAGTTTGTGATTTAATTCTGTTTCATCATGACAAACTCGAGCGATGTGTTAGACCATGAATCAAGCGCTGATAGAATTGTCGTCGGGCTTCTCTGTGTCATTGGAATATTTCTAAACACAGCAACATTAATAGTTATGGTAAAAAATTTTACAAGAATATTCGGCAGGGCGGAATCTTGCTTCGTGACGAATCTTTGTGTTGCTGATTTAGCGACATGTGTCAGTGGATTGCTTTGGACGATCTTTCCAATTTCAAAGTATCCTAGTTCCCTAGTTATTGTATTACATTGCTTACAATGGGCTACAGTATCTGCATCTTTTCTCACGCTATCGTGTATGGCTATAGAAAGGTTGTTGGTTGTTGTGAATCCTATTAAAGCGCGGCGTATGCTAAAGAGGCCGTTCGTGTCGGTTTGCTGCGCAGTTGTATGGGTTATCTCAATTGTACCAGCGTCAATGATTGCGGTGAATGCACAGATAGCGCAATGCATCATGGTAGTAATGTTCGAATCATGTTTGATCATAACCATAGGATGTTATATTCGGGTTTACTTCATCGTTAAAAAACTCAACCGTGAGGGTTTCCACACTACCGCGCGTTATAATGTAAAGGATTCGAAGCTAAAAGTCGAAGAAAGTGAACCGGCGCTTCATCACCGAGTAGCTGTACGCCAAGAATCACGCATTACAAATTTGGTTTTTCTGCTGGTCGTTATTTTGGCTGTCACGGTTCTACCTTATATGGTACTGTTACAAGTTGTGATCGCTCATAGCTTATCTTGCCATTTGAGTAAATGCCCTTGGAGTTCGAGCATGGAAATTGCCCTTGATATTCTGTTCCCGATCGAGATGTTGAATTTCGTCATAAATCCCGTCATCTATGCCTGGCGTTTGGCCAAATTTCGACAAGCATCGAAAAGGTCATTCAAACAGTTTATTTGTTGCAAAAAGCTGAGTGTGGATTCCGACGGTATGAGAAGAGATGACTGTTCTTACTCTAATTCATCTGACTCAATGGCCAATAGCCCAGCGACTATTTTTACAGGCGGAAACCCGAGAAGTGAGATGCTCAATAATAACAGACACTCGTGAATTCTCCTATTTGTTACAGGAAGAGAAAAAATGACCAAGTCTGCCCAAATATTTTACGACTAATTTAATTTAGCATAAAATGTAGATTTGACCATGGACAATGAAGAAGGTCTTCTGGATTGTCTATGATTTGACTTACTAGTAAATTATGATGTCCTGTCCTGTTACTCAATTACATAATTTGTCAATTGCCTAAACACTTTTCTCCTCTCGTGCGTATCCCAACGAATAGGTATTTGGAAAAAATAAGAACAAACTGACAATAGCTTTTTTATAACACAAGTACCATGTTTCAGTGATGTTCCTTGCAAATATCTTACAAGGGCAGCATTCACTTGCATATTTTTTTTCCACTCTTGGTTTTCCACTCTCACAATTCCACTCTTGGTTTCTGTTTCAAAAGAAGTCCTGACAATTCAAGAAGCTTCGCACATTCTTTTTACTATTTCCAACGGATTCATTCCTTTTAAGACGTCACTGAACTCGTTCTCATTTTCTTGGTCCAGATTCGGTTCCTCTCCTAATATAAATGATGAAATTATCGGACGACGACACATTGGGCACTTGTTCATTTTATTAAAACAGAGAGAACATAAACATGCATGGCCACATGGTATGAAAGCCCGCGATATGGGCAACATCTGACAAACAATGCATAAACTGTTGTTCTGTGTACTTTGCTCATGATTGCTTGAACCTTCCAGAAATAATTTCTGCAAAAAAAAACAATGCAAGAGAAATGATGTATCATACATTTTAGGTTAACTTTCAGAACGATCCTTATCAACTACTCATTATTCATTGTCTGACTAATAGACTCACTAAGTAATCGCCACAACATTCTCTTTGATATATGATACCTGTAATTTGAATATCTTGCCATTGTAAGTTTGAATGTACTGTTGAATGATAGATTTTAAAGTTTCCATTTTGTCTTTCCAATTGAATACCAGCCAGCATAGCTGTCTACAGGGATGAAATTATTGTGATTATTGCCCAATACTATGAAATTTTTATTTGCACCATGAATATGTGAGATCACTTAGTCAAATCACATACAATGCAAGATTCTGATTCTATCATTGCCTTGTGTTCATCAGTCAACTCCATGGCAACTACCAGATCATACACTTGTATCTCATTGTTTGTCAGGTCAGGCTCAATTGAGTCTAGATCTGTGACATTGTAAGATACTTTTTTCCCAGAACATATGTCAGTACTAATGTATTTCATCAAGGAAAATGACGAATGAATCTCCATAAATTCATTTTCATGCTAACTTTGATGTGAACTAAGTGTTAAAAGATACAAATCTTTGCCAATCACTGCTTTGCAATTTTTCTCCAGTTTCAACTTCCAATTGGTAAATTTATCAGTTTCTTCACTTTTTCCATCACTAGAATCCCTATAATTCAGTGGGAAAATATTCACTAATAGGTTAGTTATATGCAAACCTTTATTTTACATTAAACCAACCTTACTGAGTGAGGTGGATTTTAAAAGAAATTAGTGAAGTGAATAATTTGAATGAGCTAGATTTTTAAAAACACAGATGCTGAATAACTTTTCTTTCCATTATCATGCATCTTTTAACTATACCTTCAAAAATCTGGAAATGAGACAATGTCATCATAATACCTAAAACAAACTTTTGGTCCAAACATTGCTTTTCTACCTTCCAGAAGCACCAGACATAGCATGGATGTGTGCAGCTAAGCAACATATCAAACAACCTTATAAAAGTTGAAGAGAACATTTATCGTAATTATTAGCCAGAAGTTTAACACATTCGCGGATCTAGGGGTGTGCAGAATAAATTACTACAGCTTATAATCGAAATCGCATTGGCAGATTTTAATGTAAAAATATTCTTTTCAAATCTATAACCAATAGCGTTGTTATTAAGCTGTCTTGAATTTAAAACTGTGTAATTTATTCTGCATGCACACCCCTAGATCCGCCACTGGTTTAACAGTAACATTAATTTGTGTGGAGAGGTCTTGTTTTTGGTAAGTTTGTAAGGGCAGTTTAAGGTCTTCCAATTACTGCAATGCCATGCATCAATGCTTTCCCTTAGCTTTCAAGCATGCAATGCATGATGGTAGTTGAAAATACAAAATTGCTTCAAAGCAGGCGATATCACAACTCAAATTGACCTTGATAATTAACTACCGTCACGCATTGCGAGCTTGAAAGCTAAAAGGGGAAAGGTCTATTATGCAATTTGCCAATTGTCATTACAGTGAAGATTTTGAGTGAAAAGCAGAAGCAAAAAGTCAGAGATTGGTAAAAGATCTGCCTGATTTATAAGCCATTTTGTAGTTGATCACTTTTTTGATACACATTTGTTTGTAGAGGTAACTTTTTTTAGAGAAGTCCCTAGAAGTATATTTTAAAAAATATATAAATTTTACCTATTAAGGGGAGTGAAGATGCAGTTATTTTAAATGGATTACAAACTTCGACCATTGGTTGTGGTTTCGGCCTTTTATGTGTTACAGCCGTTTGGGTTTCTATAATTCCAAGTCGTCTTATAAACCAAAAGAGAAATGTAAAACCGATAGAAACCAGTAAGGAGGCACATATTGTTAAACAATCCGCCATCTTGAAATTTTCGTTTTCGTGGCGCTCGCGCGCGTCTGAATTTTCTGCGCGAACACACGCAAGCATTGTGGCGATTACGCAATCCTGGTGTGTGCAGGAACTTTTTCATGGGGGTACAAAGCTCCTGCACACACCAGGATTGCGTAGAATTAGAGTTCACTGAGAATGACGCGTGCGCTTCTGAAAAATTTCAGACGCGAAAACATTAGCAAAATCCAAAGAGTGAGGCTTCTGGTATAATGTCTATTCTGTGTATTAAACCAATCTCTCAGCACTATGTCTTAATCTCTATGTCTCAACCATCAGTGGTCTCAACCAACGTAAAATCCAGCTGTCCAGTGTATATCGAGGTCATTGGGCTTCACTGACCTATAAATGAGGGGTGGCCAGTGGTGAGAGGCAGTCATGGGGAAAGGGAGGCTATTTCAGATCCGCCTGAGCAGGGGCGGATTTAGGGGTTGTCAGATGAGTCACGCGACTAAGTCAAAAAATACACAAGTCCAGGTCGAAATATTTAAACTTCAGTCAGCGAAAATAGTCATTCGATAAATTAACAGTCCAGTTAGAAATTATTAAGCTTCATGCAGTTGCCGGTCACTGACTTTTGAGCCCTCGGCAAGTGAGTCATAATAGCGGATACCCGCTTGAATTTTGCCTCATCGACTTCTGATTCTAGGCATTTGATTGGCTTAGAATGAGTTTGACTCATCTTTGCGGGGGTCTGACTCATCTGTGCAATTTAAGCGTTTCCGATTGGCTGTTGGAGGGCTAATACTGGTTCTTCATTGGCTTGCCTTATCTTTGCGGGGGTCTGACTCATTCGCCAAATTTAAGCTTTCCCATTGGCTGGTGAAAGAAAAATATTGATTTCTTATTGGTTTGCTTTATTTGACTTAAAGGAAAAATATATCCTTTTCAGTAAATAAGGAATATTGAAAAATTTCTGGATGTTTGACAGCGGATATTTTTAAAAATCTGTTGGATTCTACTGCTCGATCTCGCCATTTATACGGATTCGTATATTTATTTTACAAAATGGCATTTCATCGCAATGATTTGAGGTTCCTACAAGGCCCAATACAGATCTTTGTTAGGAAGTTCACGCTACAAATAGCGAATATGTCGAATAGCTTTCAGTTGCCGTCTTGTCAAGTAATATGGATAATTCCGTTACCTCGTGTGCTCGTCAACATGAGAAATCTACTGAGATAAGGTAAAGATTCATGTCGATGTTCATATAAACAATACTCCTATAAGTTCGTATAAACTATAGTCCTATAATTTGCTATGTTAACTGTATATTTGAGCGTGGTTCTGTATTAGCATATATTTGCATTCGCCCGTCGTCGTTCGGTCATAAGGTCGATTATTGTATTGTTTATTTGTATCAAGTATCAACCACGATTTACTGTATGAATTTACGTCTAACAAACAGCCTATATGCATAATACTAGATCTAGGCGCGTAAAGAAGATTTAGATATTTGTAAAATCATGTAATCCATGTTTATGTCAAAAAGTACAACGTAATCATGATTACCCACCAAACCAATATGGCAATTATGAATTATAGCGCATTATCAACAATATTGCCCAACTGGGATATTTACTGTAAAGTGTAAGCGGCATTAAGCACATATTATATTTGGCATGTAGCATAGCTTGGAGCAATACTAGCTTATGCTGTAACAGTTATGAATATTATTCAGTCACTCTTACAAATTGACCGCATTCATGTTTTTATTCCATGCCCATGGGTGTAATTTCCTATTATTGCCTGTTATTTCGGCTCACGTGTTTCTGGTATTAAAACTGAAGGCTCAGTAAACATTTAAACGTTAACATTTTTAATGCGTACTTTTCTCGTATAATTTTTGTATAAATTTCGCGTTCAGATGATAAGTTAATAATTTTTGAAATGTCATTATTCCGGGGGGGGGGGCGGCAATTGAACCACCTCCCCGTTTTTACATCCGATATTTTGACTAACGTGCGAAAAATCCTAGATCCGCCCCTGCGCCTGAGCACCAATTATTGCAAGGTTTATCAAGGTTTTGCTTAAATTTGTTCTGTTTTAGGTTGCATGCAAACACTACCAAACAGTGAAATAAAGATATGAAACATTATCCCACTCAAAAATAGGTTATAGTCCAGATGAAGAATCGAATTCACTGGTCCATAATAAATACAGGTCAGTGGTCTATTGCATTGTCGGCAATGTGGTGTGACCAAATTAGCCAATCACAAGCTGCAGTTTTTGGCAGATTGAGTGATTGACAGTCAGTTTTCAAGACCGTGTGGACGATCCGGTGGCCAGGAAATTCGCTCTTCGTTGCAAGAAAAGAAAACCAGGTGTGTATATCTCTGAATACTCTGCATAAAAAGAACGCAGATATTATTCAAACAATGTTTCAAATATTTAAATAGTTATTAAACACTTTTTTGTCTTTTACTGTTTCATTTTAGGCCGAAATCCGTCGACGAAAGCTAGATTCAATGGTCGTGAATTGTACAGTATGTGTTAAATAGTCTCTTATCTGTTAGTTATTGAACTAAAACGTTTATCAGCCAAGCTAGAATGGTTCTGTCTTCAGTATTCGTATCAATAAGTGTCAATTATTAAGTGCAGAAAATTAAGTCCAATTTTTCAGCGTGTTTAAGCCGCTGCTAGGCGCTGCCGCGTTTAGAGCATATTGCTTTGATTTTTTAGGTTTCCTTTGTTGTAAGCAAAGCTAGAATAGCTTCAGCATAGTATTCGTAACGATTTCTACTAATTTGCAGAAGAATTAGGTTCAAATTTTCAGCGTTTCTAGCGAGTTTCCGTGCGGTTTGCAACGCCGGTGTTTTCAACTTTGTAGTCGCCGCCGCCGTTCAACTTTTAGATCATATTGTTTAGTTTTTAAAGCTTTCATATATTGTAAGCAAAGATAAAGTAGTTCTGTCTGAGGATTCGTATAAATTTGCAGAAGAATTACGTCCAAATTTTCAGCGTTTCTAGCGAGTTTCCATGCATGCATGTGCGTGTTTGCAACGCCGGTGTCTTTTTTAACTGTTGTAGTTGCCGCCGTTTAACTTTTAGTTTTAGAGCATATTGTTTAGTTTTTCAAGCTTTCTTAAAGTGTAAGCAAAGATAAAGTAGTTCTGCCTGAGTATTCGTACCAATTTGCAGAAGAATTAGGTCCAAATTTTCAGCGTTTCTAGCGAATTTATACTTGTGCGTGTTTTTGCGACGCCGGTGCTGGTGTTCTTTTTTAAACTGTTGTAGACTTAGAGCATATTGTTTAGTTTTTCAAGCTTTCTTATATTGTAAGCAAAGATAAAGTTGTTCTGTCTGAGTATTCGTATAAATTCGTAGAAGAATTAGGTCGACATTTTCAGCGTTTTTAGCGAGTTCCATGTGTTTGCAACGCCGGTGTTTTTCAACTTTGTGGTCGCTGCCGTTCAACTTTTAGGACATTTTGTTTAGTTTTTAAAGCTTTCTTATATTGTAAGCAAAGATAAATTAGTTCTGTCTGAGTATTCGTATAAATTTGCAGAAGAATTATAGGTCCAAATTTTCAGCGTTTCTAGCGAGTTTCCGTGCGTGTTTGCAACGCTGGTGTTTTTCAACTTTGTAGTCGCTGCCGTTCAACTTTTAGATCATATTGTTTAGTTTTTAAAGCTTTCATATATTGTAAGCAAAGATAAAGTAGTTCTGTCTGAGAATTCGTATAAATTTGCAGAAAAATTACGTCCAAATTTTCAGTGTTTCTAGCAAGTTTTCAATTTTCAATTTTTGGATTGCATGCAGCTCAGATCCCAACCCTTGGTTATATCTTGAATGTTTTGTCAGGAGTAATGAGTAAGTATAAGTGATCAGGGGCCCGGGTCATTTATACTTTCTGTATGCTCGACTGACCTAGTCCGGCATAGGCAAAATATTGCTCTTGGAGCACACAAAAAAAGAGATGCATGTTGAGATATGGTCTTAAAAAGGGAGTATGTTAAATGGTCGAGTGTTAAATGTCTGTCCCATTTTTGAATGAATGCCTGTGTTAAATCTTGCTAAATTTGCATGTAATTTCGAAAATGCATGGAAATTTTGTATTTGCATGTACAATGAGCATCCTGGTGAAGATGATGTTGGTGGAGCTCATGCAGGTAACATACCATAGGTGAGCTTGTTTCATATCATTTCAGATGTTAAGAAATGAATCATTTCAGATGATGATGGACCAGCCGACGATGACAGATGATGATGGACCACCCGATGACAGATGATGATGGACCACCCGATGACGATGACCAGCAGACGATGACAGATGACCAGCAGATGATGACAGATGATGATGGACTGCCCAAAGACAGAAGATGATGGACTGAAGACTAGTTTGATGGGTGGTATTCAGTTTTCTTGCATTCTATCCTATGCATGCTTGTTTTCCTGGTGGTCTGCACTGAATGTGTAATACATTAATTGAAATTCCTATTTCCCATTTTGACATTGATGATAAATAAAAATTCCGGATTGCATGCAGAACAATTAAATTAATGTATACAGCATGTTTGATTCTTTGAAAATGCATGTTCCTGTTTTATCACTTAATGTGTAATGCAATTGGTGAAATTAATGCATGACATTACTGAAGTATCCAACGGTGCGGATAAAAATGATGAAGCATGAACTCAACTTGAAGAATGGAATTCTTACAAAGGTAACTGTGAACAAGAACCAGGTATGCATATGATTGTATTTGTTTGTTGGCACATAAGGCATTGGCATAAAAAATTTGCAACAAAATATTACAGTAATGCGCCACAAGATTGATTTCTGTAAGTGCATGTGCGAATGAAAATAGCCAAAATAATAGCATGAATTATAGGTGGTTGATGTATTTTAACAGGTATGAGATCCAAAATTAGCTGTGAAATATTCCAGTTATGCATGCCACAATTTAACATAAAGTACATTGTTCTAATTAGGGAAATTGACTTTCCAAGTGCATGTGACAGTAAAAATAATTCCCAGAATAATAGCATGATTATAGACGACCGTATTTAATTCTTACATGTATAAGATGAAAAATTAGGTGTAAAAATATTTTGTTTATGCATGAGAACAAATGCTGCACCCGATCAAGACGTCCTTGTATCTCAAGAACAAATCTTTTCAGTCAACTAATCCTTGATGGGAATGTTTTGGAGATCTTAATGCGATACAGAGAAGATGTTTTGGTGTTGAACAATGTCAGGAACAAAAAACTTTCGCCATGCTGCATATAGACAGTATGTTCTATGGCAACATGGTAGATTAGGAAGAGGAAATAGGAGAGTAGTACCAAGCTGTTGTGTGGTTGCTATTCGTAACCGTTATCCTTCACCTAATGGACAGTACAGGGGATATTTGCCTGCACGTGTTTAGATAATTTAGCACTTAAAGTATAAATGGTGCCCCCAAAAAGTAGACCAAAATAAACCACAATCTGATGTGATCCTCTTTATAAAAACCTCAATCAGTTCAGGAATGTAACTAAATTCTTTTGGTACAAGAACACGAACACGGCACCACTGTTGTGTACGCTTACTGAACTTCCGACCGTACCTAATAAAAAAACAACTTTACAATTCCATACAATATGAGTACCATTACACTATAAGAATGCACAGGACCTGAAAAGTTGTTCACACTTAGGATGGGAACACTAAGGCAAAATTTCAATACCAGTACCTTTCTTTCCCATCAGCTGTAGTTGCTGGTGCTCGGCCTCTGTGGTGGTTAAAGTCCAAGGCAGCAAGCTGGTTTCTAGCTTGGTATACTGAGTATCTGAAGATACAACAAACATCAACATTCTTTTATTAACAATGCTTCCTTGCATGGAAATCAACCATGATAGGAGTTTCATTAGCTGTTACCTTTGTAATAATATGTCATATACTTACGGATAGGCATGGCGCTTTGGAGCATACATCAAAATTACATTATGAAAGGACTCTAAAATCCTGTGTGCCTAAAAAATATTTCAAACTTTGAGATGATATAACTTATCTGAAATTTTCAAATATCCAATCTCATTTGTTACCTGAAGTTAACATAATACACCAAAGTGTTTAAAAAGCGAGTGTCCAGAATGATCTTTGCCCGTGCTTTATTGGCAGAAGACTCTTTCTTAAGCCATGGCTTCTTTCTCTCACTTTCATTAAGAGGATCATGTTCACATTTTCCACCATTTACACCTTCCTCCAACACCCACTCATGCTCATCAACAACATGGTGTAAAATACCAATCCACTTATCCTATTAAAAAAATATAAAAAATACAACATAAAGTGACTACATATTAACACATGTATGTACAGTTTGCACAAACTAGATAAGTATTGCTGCAAAAACCAGTAGTACTTCAATGTGAATCTTACTTTGAGATTTTTTGAGTCATTAGCACATGTTTTTGAACAATACCAAAAATGGTTCCTTATTGATGGTGCCCACAAGGTCAAATCTGCATTGTCTTTAGATTTAGCAGCCTAAAGAATAAAATCAATTCTAAATAAAGAAAGTTTTTTAACTAATTGCTGGTTGATATCTTCAACACTTACAGTAGTGATTTTCCTTGCAATGTTCTTTGCTCCATGCCACACATCATTCTGATGTGTGACCTCCTTATATTTCTCTTCCCTTTCTAAAAAATGCAATAATGCTTAATTAATAAACAAATGCATGTTGTAAATATTCCCTCACTGTCTTTTAAAGGGTAAACACAATTAATTATATAACATTGTAATCAATCTGCAAATGAAGTTGTTAAATTATTGAAAGTCTGACAATATTGATTATAACAGGTTGAACTATTAGAGTTTCAGGAATTGCCATATTGTTATAATGTAGATACTTACTCATCAATGCAGCAATTTCAATATGACCATCAGTTACCACCTCCTTCATAACTATTGGTGGTGCAAGCAGTGTGTCCATCTTTTTTTCAAACCCAATCCTCTCCATATTATTGCTCTTACCAGCAGCTTCTCTCACATCAACCACATTCATTTGCAGTATGGCACGATCATTGGTATCAGCCAAGCTGTAAGTACAATATTGTGCACTATGGCCAGGCGAGTCATTCCTTCCATCACCACTCAATATAACCTGGTCCTCTTTGTTCTCTCTTTCTTTCCAACATTTCTGTTTGTGTTCTTTCCAGTAGTCATTAATGGCAGGGATGATGTACAACTTCTGATACTGATTGAATAATATTGATGAGAAATACTGAGAATATACAACAACAAAGCAAGCAAGCACAAGGTTGCCTGCTCTTGTTGCAAGAGGGTTGAGCTGCCCATCTGCCTCCAACATGACCAGACCTACCCCCAGGATACGACCAGGCATGTTCCAACATATGTTTTCTTATAGCTCAACACACGGCCACATCCTTGTCGTTTACAAACACTCCCATGTAATGATGTTATCAAAGCTATAAGAGTGTCTGTAAACACAATACACTTTTCCTTCTTGATTGCATCTTCAGGACTGACTTCTTCCACAGTAGAGATGTATTCTGGTTGAGTCGTCTTATGTTGCTGCTGTTGTTGTTGTTGGGTTCCAACATCTTCTGTGGGCTCATCTCCATCATGTCCACGGATTGTCACATTGAGCAAGTCATCCAGTAATGGCACGTCAAAACCCGGGGGACATACACTACAGTAAAATGGCAGTAAGAGATATTATTGGACGAAATATTTTATGCCATATTCAGTGATATATAATGTGTATATTTATGTTTTAAATCAATAAGCATTACAGTAGGAATGTCACAAAGATTATTATTGAGGTTTTGCATCATCACTTACTCAAGAGAATAGTCCGACAAAACCTGGTCTGCCTGGATAGTGTGTTCACCAAAATTGTCATTATCATCATCACTTTTATCATCAGAACTATCATCTTTGGCTGTCAATGTTCGACTGTCAGAAATCACACTCTGACCCGACCTGAGATATAAACACATATTGCGTATTTAAAAAGTAATACTCTCTGCGCGAAACTTTGCATGTATGGGTTTCAAATTATAAACTCAGTAATCACAATAAGTTTCAAATTACCTGATAGAATATGATGTTCTAACATCCGACAAAGCAGACAATCGACGCGGATTGAGTGCGCGCTTGGCGTTGAGGTTTTAACTATAAAATATTTCATACAAATGTTTTATGCGAATATTTTAAAAAATAATAAATGTTTACGTTTTTGGAGCAGCACTTTAAAACATATGTTCTTACTGGGAGAAGAAAAATATTTGGAAGGTGTACCTGGCGGCATATCCGTTGATTCCATTACCGTTTCGGTTTGCGTCTCTGCATTGCTAAAGTGAGTTCAACACATACATAAAAAGCAAATCAAGTAAACAAATAACACACAAAAAGATCAGAGGTTTTATCATTTTATACTTACCAAACTATACGATTCATCGCAAGATAGCTGTCAAGAAGCATATCCGCCACATCCTTGTCTGTTCTCAATTTATGCTGCTCCTTAAACGCTCTCCATCGAGGGAAAGAACCCAACAAATACACTTTAGAGGCATCTCTACTAGCATAATATTCTTTTCTACTCGACGACATGACTCAGTGCTCTTGAAAGATTGAGAATTTCTTTCTTAAATTGTCGGCTGGTCATGGTTTTTAGACTGAACAATCCGGGGGATTATCAACTTCGGGTGGAGTCCCCAGGCTGGCGCACGCGCAGAAGCCGTGTCTTTAAAACAGGCAAAAAAAATAAGAAATTTCAACCGCTCTTCACCGCAATTTCGGCTCTCTTCACCGCAATTTCCACCGCTTTTCACCGCAATTTCCACCGCTCTTCACCGCAATTTCCACCGCTCTTCACCGCAATTTCCACCGCTCTTCACCGCAATTTCCTTTCGCTTCTACGCATGTGCGAGCTTTGTTTATATTTTTCGTTTTGGTGTGAATCCATTTCATTTGCACAACATGAAGTATCCAAAAAACTAAATTAAAATGGCGGACGCATCAAGAGTGAAGAGTGGAGCTTTATAAAACCATTCAACAATTGTCGTTTAAAAGACAACCAAATAAATATTTTGAAAAGAACTACTGGAAGATATCTGCTGTAAGTTTGTCGATTTTATCTAAGTTTGAGATACTGTGTATAATTATTTTTACAGTGATTGTTGAATTATTATTAAATTTGGATAAAAGATTATACTCAGATAATGATTTTGTTAATAAAATACCTTCGTACTCTGTTCTAATATTGCAGGATTCAGATTTATGAGCAAGATAATCATGCTTCCATGGTCAAAGTAGCTCTTCTGAGTTTGTTTCATCATCGACATCAATGCCATGTGGGTCAACATCACTGAATGAAACTGCTTAAATACGAAAGCTTACAAGTGAAGATATAGATAGGAGAGGATTTTGATGGCGAGTATGGTTATCGAATGATTGAACTTTCAAACCTAGCAAGTGCATTTCAGTCCTTGCATAATTGGGAATTAGGCGGAGAGTTGAAAGTTACCGATAATGAGTCTCCTAGATATGGAAATAGCACAGTCATTGTTGAGTCAGATATTGCAGAGATTGCTGTGAGTTATGATAGCACATGGTCTAAGCGCGAGGGTTCACTGCAAACTTTGGAATTGATTTTGTTATTTCGGTTGACACAGGTGAGGTTCTTGACTATAGTTTTGAATCCAAATTATCGAAGTTTGACATGTATGCATTATTGATAATTGGTGATAAAGTTGCCAACCTTAGTATAAATTAATATATGCTAGTCACTGAGTAGCATGTACGCGCACAACAACACAGGGGGAATGTTGGGCGGGGCACCTATCGTATACATGATGTTTCACCATTCGTTCTCTCACTTCTCTGAGCATGAAAAAAAAAATCCTGAAAAATCTCAACCACATTCACACAAAGAAAAACTACGCCTCGTGTTTTAATAAGTCACTGTTGGTATCTTTTTTCTTGATTTACTCAACTATATGGATCGCTTCTGACACTTCACCCTCGCAAAATTTCGTAGATGCTTTAATATTTGTGCATGGTGAGGCTGAAGTGAAGACTTCTAAAAATCGGACAATTAATTGATAATTGTCATGTAATTTCCTGGTATAACATCCCAACCTATACATTGTAGTTAAAATATAATAACAATATCAACATCAAATTCAACTAATATTTTGTATGCAATCAAGCAAAATTTGGAAATGCTGGTTGTTAATTTTACTGCAATTATTACACAAGATAGGATTACACTCCCTTATCATTACCCGGAATTGCTATCACATGTGAATGCAATATAATTTTTGTACACAATCATTATTTAATCATTGTTTTCAGCATAAATTATGCCTTAAGAGGCCTTCTCCAGACAATATTTATTGCAAGCTATATGATATTTGCTCCAATATTTGGCTATATTGTGAAAGATACAGTTGCAAGCTCATTATGATCTATTGCCTCGTTGTCTGGTCATTAACAACATTTCTTAGCACACTACTTAATAAACACCTATGTAAGCTTTTACTGATTTCATACAGTGAGTTAGAAGTCAGATATGTTAAAAACAGAAGGAAAATGGTAGGTTAATGATAAGTTTGTTATGTTCTTGGTTCAAAAGTATCTTCCGCATTTAGTGGTGGCAATAATTTTATAATAGAGAAAACACAGGTTATGTAAACATGTGAAATAAACATGTTATTACTTGATGTGTTTCAGGTAACTCCAATTTTGGATGTGCTTCTTATCATCTTGGGCTTTATATCTGTTGTTTGAACCTGTCTAGGGGCAAATTGAAAAGAGTCAGGGTGATATTGTTGCAGACAAGGATGTTATCATTCGTTGTTCATGGTTGAATGATGCAAAACATATGTTACGCTGGTAGGTGATTTTTAACAACAGATGTTGCTTACTGCAGGAGGAACTGTTTAGAACTGACAGAATTATCCAGTGTAAATATAGTTAGTTTGTGTAGGTTTCCTGCTGTAGTAACGCTAAATCAATAAGAGATGATCCAGTATGCCATTCCTTGTTATGCCCTTGATCCTAGCTTCAAAATATAATGTTCTTTCTTATGTAAGTTAAACATGTATATCTGAAATAAAACATATATTTAATATTTCCGTAAAGACATTTCTATCATATAAGTGTTAGCAATTGTCTTGTTTCTTTGTAGATACAGATAGAGGCAAAGCATTGGCAGTCCTTATATTGTGGGTTTGGTATGTAATATACAATTTCTTTAACCTAAAGCTATGAATCACCGACACGCCCACTGAATCTAATTATGACGTCACTTCCGGTCCGCGGGGCTTATTTCGCTACTTCCTTATGCTTTGACTTTTGACTTCCGGTTTTTCAATGGGTGGTCAGACACGCCCATTTAATCTAATTATGACATCACTTGCAGTGGACAGGGCTTATTTCGCTACTTCCTTATGCTTTGACTTTCAACTTCCGATTTTTTTTGGCGTAGTCAGACACGCCCACTTATACTAATTATGATGTCACTTCTGGTGGGCGGGGCTTATTTCGCTACTTCTTTACGCCTTGACTTTCAACTTCCGATTTTTTGTGGGCGTAATCAGACACACCTACCTAATCTAATTATGACGTCATTTTTATGGGCGGGGCTTATTTCGCTACTTTCTTACGCTTTAACTTTCATCTTCAAATTTTTTGAGGCGTGATCAGACACGCCCACTTAATCTAATTATGACGTCACTTCCTGTAAGCAGGGCTTATTTCGCTACTTCCTTACGGTTTGACTTTCAACTTCCGATTTTTTGTTATCGTAGTCAGACACACCCCCTTAATCTAATTATGACGTCACTTCCGGTAGGCAGGGCTAATTTTGCTACTTCCTTACGCTTTGACTTTCAACTTCCGATTTTTTGTGGGCGTGATCAGACACGCCCACTTAATCTAATTATGACGTCACTTCTGGTAGGCGGGGCTTATTTTGCTACTTCCTTATGCTTTGACTTTCAACTTCCGATTTTTTGTGGGCGTGATCAGACGCGCTTACTTAACTTAATTATGACGTCACTTCCAATGAGCATGGCTTATTTCGCTACTTCCTTACGCTTTGACTTTCAACTTCAGATTTTTTGTGGGCGTGGTCAGACACGCGCACTTAATCTAATTATGATGTCACTTCCGGTGAGCGAGGCTTATTTTAATACTTCCTTACGCTTTGACTTTCAACTTCCGATTTTTTGTGGGCATGATCAAACACGCCCACTTAATCTAATTATGATGTCACTTCCGGTAGGCGGGGCTTATTTTTCTACCTCCTTACGCTTTAACTTTCAACTTCCGATTTTTTGTGGGCGTGATCAGACACGCCCACTTAATCTAATTATGACGTCACTTCCGGTTGGCGGGGTTTATTTCGCTACTTCCTTACGCTTTGACTTTCAACTTCCGACTTTTTGTGGGCGTGGTCAGACACACCCACTTAATCTAATTATGACGTCACTTCCTGTTGGCGGGATTTATTTCGCTACTTCCTTACGCTTTGACTTTCAACTTCCGACTTTTTGTGGGCGTGGTCAGACACGCCCACTTAATCTAATTACGACTTCACTTCTATTGAGCAAGGCTTATTTTACTACTTCCTTACGCTTTGACTTTCAACTTCCGACTTTTTGTGGGCGTGATCAGACACGCTTACTTAACTTAATTATGACGTCACTTCCGGTATGCGGGGCTTATTTCGCTACTTCCTTACGCTTTGACTTTCCACTTCCGAATTTTTGTGGGCGTGATCAGACATGCCCATTTAATCTAATTATGATGTAACTTCCGATAGGCGGGGCTTATTTCGCTACTTCCTTACGCTTTGACTTTCAACTTCCGATTTTTTGGGGCGTGATCAAACACGCCCACTTGATCTAATTATCACGTCACTTTCGGTAGGCGGAGCTAATTTCGCTACTTCCTTACGCTTTGACTTTCAACTTTCGATTTTTTGTAGGCGTGATCAGACACGCCCCCTTAATCTAATTATGATGTCACTTCCAGTGGTAGGGGCACATTTTGCTACTTCCTTACGCTTTGACTTTTAACTTCCGATTTTTTGTGGGCGTGATCAGACACACCCACTTAATTTAATTATGATGTAACTTCCGGTAAGCATGGCTTATTTAGCTACTTCCTTACGCTTTGACTTTGAACTTCCGATTTTTTGTGGGCATGGACAGACATGCCTACTTAATTAATCTAATTACGACTTTACTTCCAGTAGGCGGGGCTTATTTCGCTACTTCCTTATGCTTTAACTTTCAACTTCCGATTTTTTGTGGGCGTGATCAGACACGCCCACTTAATCTAATTATGACGTCACTTCCATTCTGCAGGGCTTATTTCCTTACTTCCTTATGCTTTGACTTTTCACTTCCAGTTTTTCAATGGGCGTGGTCAGACACACTTACTAAATCTAATTATGACGTCACTTCCGGTTCGCGGGGCTTTTTTCACTACTTCCTTATTCACTTTTTTCTCCATTGGGATTCAAATTGGGATTCACTTTTTTTTGAGATTCACTTTTTTCTTGATATTCATTTTCGGTTTCATTTTTTTCTCTCTTTCTTTGCTACTTCCTTACGATTTGACTTTCAACTTCCGATTTTTTGTTCTGATTTTTGTACAGTTCACTAACAGTTCAGTTCTGATTTTCGTACAATTCACACACAGTTCAGTTCTGATTTTCGTACAGTTCAAACACTGTTCGATTCTGATTTTCGTACAGTTCACACACAGTTAAGTTCTGATTTTCGTACAGTTCACGCAGTTCAG